GAAAAAGAAAAAGAAAAAGAAAAAGAAAAAGAAAAAGAAAAAGAAAAAGAAAAAGAAAAAGAAAAAGAAAAAGAAAAAGAAAAAGAAAAAGAAAACCAAAAAAAGCAGCTGGTGTTTTTTGCTATTCAATATCCAAGTGATAGTCCAGCCTAATCCCACTGAAAAATTCCCACTCCAAAAATGCCAAGCAGCCTCCAATTTTAGGGCTGGGAAAGCCACATTCCTGCTGGATATATGAGCAAAGATATTTGTGCCACTTCCCTGCCAGGCAGGGAAGGAAATCTTTCAGCACAAATGACAGATAAAAATGCAACGCATGCCTAAGTCAAAGTTTCCCATGTGCTGCTTAACCCCCTCTTGTTATTTTTTGCAAGACAGGAACTGGATTAAATCTTGCAGCAAACAGTTTAATTGCTCCTCGAAATTCCATTTAGATCCCTATCTCCTGGGAGCAGCCCACACTTCCACTCGGTGCTTACACAGCACCTAGCAGAGGGGGCTGGGACCGCATGGGACTTGCTGCTTCAGCCCAAGTGCCAACAAACAGAGCCACATTAGAGAGGTCCAAAGTCGCCCCTGTCGCCTGGCAGCACCAGGAGGAGGGAAGGATCCAGCCCCAAAACGTGGCTGCAGACATTCAGGTGGCCCAGAGCAGGAAGACTATTAAAAATAACTTCACCCTTTCMGGCTATAGCCCTGGGGGAGCTAAAAGGCTCTCCCCTTCTCAAGCAGCCCCGATGCCCTAGGGGCCCTTTGGAAGGGGTGCCCAGGCCCTGCATGTGTCACCGGCAGGGCTGGTGCCAGCAACAAGTGCCATGGAGAGGCTGCTGGTCACACGTGTAAGGTCGGGCTGCTGGCCCAAGCCAGCCCCTAAGGCGACAGATATCCCAGTGCTGAAGCTCCATGGGGAAGTCAACCTGCCGTCCTGCAGCGCTGCTGACGGGATTTTGCCTCTGGCCAAACCCTTCTTTTACCCCTTTTGCCCCAAAGAGAGTCTAAATGGACATTTTAATATCTCTATTCTGAAAAATAAAGCAAAGTAATGCAAAATAAAATGAGTAAAAGCTCCCCTGACCTGAGCCAACACTCCCTCAGTGTCTGAGAGGAATATTCACTGCAGGTGGGAGCTGCAAGGGGAAGGGATCGTGCAGGACAGAGCCAGGACAGCCGGCAGGCTGGGAGCATGGTTTGYGCCATGAAGACAGCTCAATATGTAGAGTGGGACTTGGGACACAATCAAGGGCAGCTCATACAWGCAGAGCTTGCAGACAAACGCTGCAGAGCAGCTCCTGTGCCTGTGGCTGAAGCAAAAGGCAGCCTAGAGGGAGGTCTCCTTGCTGCTCCCTTTGCCACTGGGATCTCAGGGGAGAAACGCTGGCCAGATGGGACCGCAGTGTCCTCACCTTACAGACCTTGGGATCCACTCCTGCCTTGCAGCTGCCTCAGGTCCCAGCGCTAATCACTGCCCTTGCTGCTTAACCCTCTCCTGGCTCTTCTYGCCAGCACCAGGGACAGGCAGCACCAGTGAGGGCCAGGATTTGGGCCATACCTAAGCTCCGAGCACCTTCTGGAAGGGCAAGACGGGCACAACGCCGCCAGGCATATCCTGAAAAGCGGCCCAGGCTTTAGCAGCAGGAGCGGGATCTGTCCAATGCCTCCCGTTTCCTCGGGACACGTGGCACATTGCAGAGCTRTGAAGCTAACCCCTCACAGAAGCACCACACCGTGCAACCCGAGTTCCTGCTGCCTGCAAAAATACCCCAAAACAGGGAGCTGACCAAGACCCCAGGATCAGTGTGTCCTCCRTAACTCATACAGGCTCCGTGAAGGAGAGCGCAGAGGGCTCCCAGCTGGCACRGGGAGCTCAACCTGGTATGTGTGAACAGCCCCCAACATTTCTGTGCAGGATGGGCAGTCTCCRCGGGCGCGAGCGCAGCAGAGCAGGCGGGCAAGGCATTCGTGCAGCTACGATGGTTACGTGCAAAGCGAGAAGGCGAAAGGTCCAAGTACCAGGTCACAGGTGGCCTCGAGCGGTCGCTTCAGTGATCTGACAGCTGGCTGAGTCTTAATTAGCAGGCAGCGAGCACATGATGGCAATGGGCCGGGGAGGGGAGTCAAGCACAGTAACGGAAACAGCAAGCAGAGGTGTCAAGAGAGCGACAATGTGGGGAGGTGAAGAGAAAAAAAAATAAAAAAAAATGAATGCATTATACAATATATCAAAAGACGAAGCATGCACAACATGGGGTGTCTGCGTGACCTCTTTTGCCTTAGTTGTTTTTAGCTATCAGCATCAGTTGTTTTTAGGTATCAGGAGGGGTACAGGCTCTAGAGATGCCCATCTAGGATGCCTGCTAACTCTGCAGAGGCTGGGGAGAGCTCAGGGCAAGGAAAGCACCACGGGTGAAGATGGGAAGTTGGAGGGCACCTCAAGTGGGAGCCTGAACTGGGGACTGAGCATGACCCTGTTCATGTGTTGCACAGACCCGAGGCAGGCAGGAGCAAGGAGAGCTGCTACGAGGTGTGAAGTTCCTGCAGGATTGGGTCCCCCAGAGGTATCCTCTGAATTTAGACTTGCAGCAACTCCCAATCTATTTCAGAAGGGCTTAGCACAGCAGTTTGCGAGGCACCTGTTTCTGGATGCAAGATGACTGCGCACCATCCTTCCCTTTCCTAAAGCCTTAGCCCTCAACAGGTACAGTAAATGCATCAAACCTTGAAAAGGCAATGAATAATGTAAGCTGTTTTGGAAGCAGTGTGATGCAACAAATCACCAATAAATATTTTAAAGGTTCTAGTTAACAGCATACAAATAAGGTTAATTACATTTTTAAGAGAAGCCAGAAGCATGAATAAAACATGTATTGGCTTTGGTTAAGTAACAGTGTCCTAGATAATTAGCAAAAAAGTAAAACTTCAGTTGTTAAGAACATGAGAATTTCATTTCATTTCAGCTCAATCTTTTTCAATAGTTGTTGTTTCAGCAATAAGGAAAATAGTTAGGAATTTAACAAATAAATGATCCAAGACAAATGAACACTGCAATACATTTGGCTCTTCAAGCTACTTCCCAGGTAATACTGATGTTACCAAGATAGCAGTTGCTTATTTTTTATAGTCTTCCCATCTTTGCACTGTGCTTCACCCTGATAAAAACCAATCCTTCTTACTGTCTGTGAAAAAAGCTGTTCAGGGAAACTTTGCTAGCTTTATTTCTACATGAAAAAGGAGGCAAGAACCTTTTCAATATTAGCTAGTCAAAGAGTGACAGAGGAGATGAGACTGGAGAGGCCTTTGGAGGTTGTCTGGCCCAACCTCCCACTCTGGACATGGTCAGGTAGAGCAGGCTGCACAGGGCTGTGTCCACTCAGATTCCGCATGGATCGAAGTCCCACAGCCTCTGGGCAACCTGCTCCAGGCTTCAAATACCTCCACTGTAAAAGAGCTTTGTGGTTTTTTTTCTCTTATATTTAAGTGGAAYTTACTCGATCTTAATTTATCTCCATCACCTCCCATCCTTTCACTGGATACCACTGACAAGAGCCCAGCTCCGTCTTCTTCATACCCACCCATCAGGCACTTAGCGCACCCGGATAAACCTCCCTGAGCCTCCTCGGGGTTGCACAGTGCCCACTCTCAGCCTCTCTCCATACATCAGATCCTCCTCTCTCTTCATCACCCACCCTGGACTGTCCCCAGGACATCCACATCCCACACTGGGATGTGGGAAGCCCAGCGTTGGATGCAGCTAAGGGGGGCAGACTCACCTCCCTCGACCTGCACTTGGCCCTCTTTGCTGCGGACAATCTGCTCGTTATGGCCAGCATCCTGCCCACTCTGGACAATTTAAGCTCTGCAATTAGGTTTCTCTAATGTACTGTGGGAAGCTTATTCCCAGCTGGACTAAATAGGAGCCATTAAACTGCAGTCAATAGAATGGCAGCCATTTGCTGCAGCTGGAAACCTGATCCATACTTTTAGGTCTTTGATGCGTTTTTAGAGTTCTTGCCCCAGCTACAGGAGGGTAAGAAGACACCACTCAAATTAAAATGCAGCTGGAGCCTTGTCTGACGGTTCCTAAGCGTCACAGAGATGTAGTAACTCATCCTTGGTTTGAGACTTCTGTCATTTCAGTAAGCAAAGGGATTGGGCCCAGGAATTCTCAGCTTGCTCGGCTGGAACAGTCGGTATCTTGTCTGCTTTGAAGTCAGCAGAAATTCCTCTGCTGATTTCGACAGGCCAGGATCTCCCCACGAAAGGGTGTTACGAGATGGGCGTTAGTTGCTTTCCTGGTGCCTCAAGGAAGCTAAACTGACACCGAGGGCTTAGCCACGGACSGCACTTGGTTTAGGTGCTGCTGAACATGCCACCTCGTGACTCAGGTCAGAAAATCAGAGGACCTGCCAGTGTGTCCCTAACTGGTGAGAGCTGCCATGTCGCTCAGCATCTCGTGGCACGCTGAGCACACAGGAAAGATGCAAGGAAGTCATTCACACYGCACACGTGCTTGGCAATTCACTCAGCCACTCACAAAACACCCCGAGTTACTTTTCCGCACRTGACACACATCAAATCTCTGAGCGATTCGGACTGCAGTTGGAGAAGAGCATCCTTACCATTGCAGCTGCAGCTGTCTGGTTCACCTGGTGTTGAGCTGCCTTGATTTTGGCTTGCAGGTGTGCAGGGGGATGAAAGTACTTGCATTTCTCCCTAGAGCATCGACCTTTGATGTAATCCATGCAAACTGTAACAGTGTTTTCATTTGTGTCTATCATTGCAATATCTATGGGGTGAGCATAGCGGCAATCGTTCTCACCACGTGTACAATTTCCACGTTGAAACTCTCGACAAACCTTAAAAGAAAGTCACATTGTTGAGCAGACATAAAATTTCAGCACTTTCAACACAACATATCAGTACAGCTGGCTGCACTAAACTTATCCATGCATTCTGTTATTAAACACGAGGAGGCTCTCTCATGTAGATGGCCCGATTGACTTCTGTAACAAAACTCTGACCCAGGGTTACTTGGCAGTGTGCTTGATCACTGTACTCTAAAAGCCAACATTGTGCTCGTTGCCATTACCAAAATTGCTAGCTGTACAGAGACCTTGCAGCTCCTTGGGAGTTATCAGCTCTGGAGCATCAAAGGCAGAGAACAAAGTTTTGCAAAATGGAGCTTAAGGTTCCCTCGTTTCAGGAACCGAGAAAAATTGCTGAGGTTGTAGCTGGAGGTGTCGATCACAAAGCACTACGTAGCAGTCTGCTTGTGTGGGGAGAGGKGAGGCGGCGTGGAAGGGGGAGCGACAACGTAAAGTGTGTGTTATATTAAACAATACACTGCGAAATTACACCCATCGCTGCCGCCTTCCTGTGTTGTAATTTATACCTGCAGGAGCCTCTGAGTTCAGGCCCTCAGCCCTTGCTTCCTGCAGAGCCTCTGTTGAGGGCTCCCAAACATCTACAACCCCTTCACCACCGAGTCCCAGTGAGCGGAGCCGACTGGTGGGGAGTTTGGGAGGGGAGCAGATGACATTCGGAATCACGGCCCTTATTTGTTATTACGCTTCGTCCCCTGTGTGACCCGGACCCCGACGCTCCGCTCCCGGCTCTTCTAACAATGCAGTGCCTGAAGCTCTCTGCAAAAACTCGACGAGCCTGGCTCGAGACAAGGGCAGTGTTTGTTACTTCCACCCTCTTGTTCTTATTCCAGAATGTCTCCCACTCAGCCCAGGGAAAGGGCAGGCAATCCACTGGCATTTTTTAAGCGTTGCAAATAGATTCTACATGGAAAACAATGCACCCCAGTCCTGCTCTGATGCCTGAATGCTCCCCAACTTCCAGGGGCTTCAAAGGAGGTGGGATCAAGCCCCACATGAGCGCCTGGATGTGCAGAGAGCAGCAGTTCTGTATTAGGAAAGCTGCAAGTTAATCTCTGCACTGTCTCCTGAATCAGGAGGTTATTGTAGCAGAGCACAACGGTTTGGACCCAAAGGCCCCAGTCATTCACTTCAGCAATATTGCATCAGACAGCCAAATACCTCCAGTTTATCTGTACGCATCAGTTTCTGTCCGGCAGAGCCTCCTGGTACTGTAACAGTAGGATTCCCGGAAACCAGGACAGGAGTATTTGGTAAAAGCTCTGCAGGAACCAAGCCCATCCCAGGGGAAACATGACTCAGGTAGGGACTAAAAGCCATCGTGGGGCTTGTTGCAAGCGATGGAGTCACAGGAAACGTTGTCTGTGGATAGAAAGAGAGAAAACAAAATATTAGTAAAAAGCTCTGCCTTGGATTACCCAGTCAAAGCCTTGTAGCACTTCAATCCTTTTAGGCAATTTGATTAGTAACATCAAAAAATGCTCTGCTTTCCAATCTATTCATTTATTGCCATTTACTTGCAGTCCATTAGTCTCTCCTGACTCACAGAATTGTGACTCATCCTCAACACAAGGCATCTTTATTTGTCAGATCAAAGCATATTGATGATCTTCATAGCTTAACGACACAATTAAGGACCTCTTGCCAACAATTAGGGCAGGCCCCAATTAAACAGGCCCCTCCTCCCCAAACAAACATCTCCGCTTCTTTACRTCTCTGCTGCAGTGCTGCTCAGAGCCCTCAAGCTGAAGGGAAGCAGGTTTCAGCACCTGGGAACAGGCAACCTCGAGAGCTAAAGGGTTGAATTTACTCTGAGTTCACGCTGGGCTTCACGCTGTGGTGGCGAGACAGGCTCCTGTAGGCAAATGAGCTCATTTGAAGTCAGGTGGGGTGTCCCTACCAGGAYATAGTGTCTGCTCTTCTGCACATCTCTGCTTCCTATCAGAGCTGGCAGCCTCCAGGCAAAAGCGATTGTTTTTTTCCCYGAGAAATCCCTAAGCCTGTACTCTAAATGGCAGCAAGAAGACACTGGTGTCGTGACCCTCCCAGCCTTGGCAAGGCCAGAGAGGCTCTGTGGCTACCTGGCAAGGTGGCTTCTGCAGGGAGGCCACGATGAAGCCGAGGACCCAGCAACACCACGAGCAGTGATGCCTGCATAAGGAGTCAGAGAAAACAGGTCCACAGAGACTGAGGCTGTTTCTGATCACTAAACAGCCTGAGGCAGGACCTGTAAGAATAGCAGAGCTAGAATCCAGGTGGCCAGAGCAGCTTCCCCTGCCTGAATTTCTCCAGCAACGTTGCTCTGATAAGAGTTTCCATTCTCTCAGGCCAAGATCACACAAAACAAATAAGTTAAGTGTGACGTTTTAAGCCTACAAACCGCCCGTAGAGTCAGGGAGCTTGATAAGCTTTAAAGCACCAGAGCTGAGGCATATTTGGGGCAAGGAAAGTAATTGCAGCTGAGGCAAAATCCCGCTGTGTCCAACTAGGAGGCCAGAGCCTGCAAGGGAGCCCTCCATCCAGCACCAGCATTGGCCCAGGCAGGAGGCAGCCCGTGACCTACCCCCATTTTCCTTCTTTTTCTGTCCCCTTCAGGTCACCGTTTAGGTCACATCCYTCACCAGGGTGTGAATGATTCAGCCCTAAGTGCCTGCAACCTCCCCTGGGCAGTGAATGCAAATRCTGCTACAAAACAGTCTCGTGGGGTCCCTTGGCCTTGTCCATCACCTTACCCTTGTTTCTGTTTTCCCATTTAGCGGGAAGATCCACATTCCAGCGCGCTCCTATCCTAGGGAACACCTTGCTCGTGACAGCTGGAATGAATCAACYGTCCTAATGTGTCTCAGCTAACTGAGTCTCCCTTCCCTTCCCTGGGCCAGTGACAGCAGGCAGCCCCGGGACAACGGGTCACTTCCAGCCTATTTTCCCCTCCACAATGATCAGGCGCAGCCTCCTGAAGCAGTGCAGCTCTGTGCTTTAAGTCTGGCAGATCCAAATAATCCTCTCTCTGGAGAGATTTTCAATTTTCCTTCTTTTGAGCCCAAATCAAGCCCCTGTTCAACTGATGGGAGACTCTACCCATTAAACTCAGAGTTCCTCCAGTCCACGGCCCTTTATCAAATCACTTKCTTCTCTCGCTCAATTCTCTGCAGCTCCCAGACACATTACAGCTTTTTGCTGCTAAAAAGCTCTTTAAGTGTCTTCAAATACAGCAGCTCCCTGAACATTTTGGYGAGAAGACAGCCATTAGACTATGTTCTTTTGTGGGAGCACTAGAAATTACAGTGGCATCTGCTGAACTTCTGTCATCATTGCCACTGTTAATTCTATTTTAAGGAACTTCTCTGGCCTGGCCAGTCTGCCCAGGGCTATGCTGGAGCCTGACGCTGTCAGCACTTGTTTCCTGCACCCATGATTGCCCAAACCTTGTGGCACGTGTGGTTTGCACAAGCGCCTGGGCCCATTTACCCTCTGCTTCTCCAGCACTCAGTGCGCCAGGTGCGCTGGCCACAGCAGGGTGGCACAGACCTGCTGTGTTCCCAGGTGGGACAATCTTCCAGATGATTTTAGGGCAGTTCCTCCTGTCTGAGCTCGCACAAAACCAGGAGTCAATCCCAGGATTTAGCTCCTGGAGCCCTGGCTTCCGAGATGGAGGAGAGCTGCCCTTCCTGCTGCCCAGGAAGGGGCTGGGGTCAGCAAGGGAGGTTCGGGATCCTAATGGCTTATCCTGGGTGAATTAACTGGAAAGATGTAGGAGGGAAGGCGAAACATTCACATGGAGAGGACATGCAGCTAACCCAATCCTAGGAACTGGGAGCCAGATCCTGGCTCTCAAAACATGGCCCCATCTCCAAGACCCCTCTCCTGAGGGCACAGATGGGAAAGCAGCAGAAGCCAACAGCTCTGAACCCGACCCGGAGAGGGCCACGCGCKGGCGGTGGTGGAGGAACGAGGGCCACAAAGAGCACGCGAGGAGCAGGATCTACCCTCCTCCAAGGGACGGCGCAGTCCTGCAGAGGGGCACGCGGGCTGTCCTGCCCTTCCCAAAAAAAGCAGAAGGAAAACCAGCTGTGGGAGGGCTCTGGTAACCCAGATGCAAAGCCAGAGACTGAGCTGACTTTGTTAGGTCTAAAAGCATTGGGTCTCTAAGCCAGAGGTGCAGTAAATCCACTGCAAACTGCTCCTTTCTAAGCTGGCAGTCAAMGCTCCGTATTTATTGTGTCTAGTGAAGTGAAAAGATGGGCTGAGCTCAGTGCCAGCCCTGCCTGCCTGCCTTGGATTAGGAAACCCAGCCTGGCTCATACATCAGCACCAGTAATAAGGAAGCTGCCAGCCAAATCTTTCCTCCCCTTACATCTGTGCAGGTCCCCAGTGCCAGGCCTGTCCCGCGGGAGTTCTAGTGCGCTCCTTCCTCGCAGGCAGAACCRACTCTAATTTCTACTAAGAACAGCAGTTTTATTCCTCCACAATGTATCTCCCATCCATCTGCTGTGATTGCATCTGGCCAGGGAACCTGTTTAAGAGATCAATGTTATTTTGCCTGTGTGCTCTGGAGTCCTCTGTTCAGCAGATCGCCAAYCAGGGCTGATGCAGGGCTGCTCCCGGCCTGCTGGGAGGAAAAAGCTGCAGTGCAAAACAAAGACACAGCTCCAAATAAGTCATTAGCACTAAAGGCAGCACCACGAGGAGCTCTTGAAGAGCAGGCTGAAAGCCCTGACTCCGAGCAGACCAAAACCCAGAGATTGCCCTGAAGACCATCAAAGGCCCCAGCCAACTGCCACTATAAAAATAAGTCCATGAGCTGCAAGCACTGAAGTGCTCATGATCCCAACTGCCCGGCCTCAGTGCTCACACTCTCTGCCCACACTCCCGGGCTTCACTGCAACGACACAGGCAGCAGCGGGCTCAGAGCACGGCCCAGAGCCACAGACACACACGGGGAACGGACTCATCTATTAACCGAGAGTCCACGGGAGCATCCCCGGAACCACAGGGCTCCCAGGCACAGGACACAGGCTGAAGAAAGAGGGAATTTCTTGGAGGCAACAGGATTAGTGCTGTCCTAGCTCCATGTCTGCAAACTGAGCCAATCCTCTCCCCAAGGAGCCTTAGAAGCCTGTTATCTGTGCAAAGCCCCGCATGCTTTAGGAAAAAGCAGCCCAATCATCAGCACTGTTTACCCTCTGCTGCACTCCATAAGGCATCTGCAAATTCAGGAAATGTGGGGAGAGATTTCCTGGCAKACTACCTTTTATTTTATTAGCTTTTAATACACGTGCAGACACTACCAGGAGCTCCTGAGCAAACAGAAACTGGTTAAAAAATAGAGGTAGAGCGTTCAGACTGGTAAGAGTCCACAGGACTGGTTTACAGATATTAAATTGGTCCTAAGAAAAGAGAGAAGCCAAGAGGCTGTTGGGCAGGAGGCTACGAGGGGAATGACGGAAGAGCAGGACACAAACACTCCTTCTGAGCTGTCCACTGACACACATGGGGAAAGAAGTTTGAAAATYTGAAAACCTCTCTGAGCAAATCGCGACCGCGAGCATGCACGAGAGGTGGGACTCACCAGTGCCAAAAGTAAAAGAAGTCCAACAGAGGAGGGAAAAATAAGTGAAAAAGTGAGAAGAACACGTCAGCAGTGGCAGGTAGCCAAGGGCTCTGCTGAGCAGTCGTCTGGCTGGTTCACTTTGATCCCTCCCCAGACTGGGGGCACAGGAGCTGTTGGTTGGAGGGTGTGAGCACAGAGAAAGGCCAGGCCCAAGCAGGGGCATCTGTCACTACGGGTGACATAACCTGGGCCTTTGGACTGACTCCACGAGGACAGCTGATTTTGTTAACAAGCTGGAGGTTGCATCCAGTTTGCCTAGCAGAAATCCTGTTAAAGCTACAGAAGAAACACAGAACGGGTGCGAGGAGAAACGCAGGGAAACGCCTGGTATTTTGCCCAATACAGCTCAAGCGCCGTCTCAAGGCGGAAAGCGTCGASTGAGTTGCTGCAGACTCTGGAAAAGGGAAAAGCCAGAATATAGAGGCCTRGCAGAGAGGCTCAGATCTCAACGCAGAGATGCTGTTGAGCTGGATGCGGAAAGGAGACACTGTGAAGAAGCTGCCCGTGGACAGCACACAAGCGGGGCTGGTGGTAAAGTGAACACTGAAGTTAAAGCCCCCCTAAAAGAGCTGCAGGGCCCAACCCAGGGTGGCCACCAGGGTAGGGCTGGCGGAGGCCCGGGCTGCCCTCGGGGGCACCGGGAAGGTGACTCCTGCGGCTGGCAGGGCCTGCACCAAGACGCCGGACACTGATAAGGATGATTCCCCCTCCTGGCGGGAGCGCCCAGCTCTGCCACCCCAAGCAGATTTGTATCCAACTTCTAAGCAAGACAGAGAGGCAGAGAAGGCCCAGAGGGCTTCCAGTTTAAGACCCTAGCTTGGCCAAAGCTGACAGCGACCTTCACAAATCCAAATCCATGTTAAAACTTTCCTACAGTCACTTAACTTGGCACCTGCATGATCTCCCCAAGGTCCCTCAGAGACACCATGTTGAGTAAATGCTCCGCTCCATGCCCTGTCTCGCTTGTTTTAAAGTGTTATATGAAGCATTCTGTTTGAAAAACCTTGCATCAGACACCTGTGTGATTCTCAGCTTTGCACGGACGCCTAAGAGCAGCATCAGGGAGCAGCCGGAGACTTCAGCRTGCGCGGGATGCAGCTCCCGCGAGCACCACATCCACCCAGGAGGCCTCGGCGGCCTCTCCCTGCGGCCTCAGCACCAGGATTAGCGTTTGCTGCGCGTCAGCAGCGGCGGCACCAGGACCCGGCGGCGGCTGCATTGTGTGGTCAAAGGCCGTTACATCGGGGGCTCTTTTTACACGGCTGCTTTCCGGGTGAAAACGCACTTGAAAACGCCTAAGCCAGCAGCTATTGTTTGGAGCTATTAAACACGCTGCCCCAAATCACGTCTCTGGCAGGCGTCCCAATTAAGCAGACATCCCGTTGATCAGTTTGCTGATCGCGGGGGATTAGTTCTGCTGCTGCATCTGATATAATACTTGGTGCTTTGAAGAATTTCATGCGTAGCCAGGAGGAAGCCCCACCCTGCTCGGGGAGGCAGCAAAAAACCCTCCTCAGCGCCCGCTTCCCCTGGCAGCATCGTCAGGAAATCAAAGGCAGCTGAAAGAGCAACCTCTTGTTTGTCCTGAAATTGGTGTGGAACAAGTCGGGCAGCAGGAATTAACACAGGGGCTCGCTTACTCTGAGCAAGTGTGGGAAAGGGGAGAGGGAGCAGTCACKGCAGAGCAATTTTTTTTCTTTTTCCTTTTTACCCTCGTCTACCCCCCGGCACAATTTGGAACCCGGGGACCTTTCTCATCTGATAAGGTTACCTCCAAAATGAAAGCATCAACCAGGCAAATAAACAGTCGGTCTCAGAGGCAATTTAAAAGGCAGCAGTGAAATTGCTGCAGAAATGAACTGGGTCTGCAAGATTGCAAAGTGGGAAGATGGGAACTTTCCAGAGAGGAAATCCCAAAGATATTTTGCACAGGCAACAGAAGGGCATCCAGGTAATTCCCCACAGAGAAACTCCCCCTTCAGAAAGGTTTGCTTTCGATACAGGGCTGGGAAACAGTTCCATCATTCTGTGGGAATCCAGGATTTCCTTTTCCTATGCATGTACTTTCGTGAAAGGGAAACTTCACAAAAGGGAGTACAAAGATTACAGTGGATCCAAGTTTAACACTCAGGGCAATCCTAGGCTTTCTGCAGCCCGCTTTCTCTTCCTGCCTCACCTTCCATCTTTGAAATGGGAAGAACAAACAGCATTTCCCTAACACACGTGCAGGAGAAGACACATCTGTTAGTACGTGCAAGATGGCTAGAGGCTGCCTGCTCTGTTCCCCGACAGCAATCGGGGAGCACCACCAAAGAGGGAGCAACCCGTCCCCTCGGCAGCAACGTGGGGACACCAGGCAGCTCAGCCACCCCCAGCGAGCGGAAAAACTCCCCTGGTGTCTCTTGGGGATGAAGCAGGGGTGCCCGAGCTTGCTAGAGCTCGAGGGCACGGCCCGAAAGCACCTTTGGGGAGGAAAGCCAAGCACAAGCTGGCTCAGCCTCACGTCCTCAGGCTGCAGAAACGCGTCCTAGTCACCTAGGGAGGGCTGCTGCCCRGCACAGCTCAGGGAGCATCCCCAACCACTGCACATCGAGGCCACGCTACTGCCGGGAAGACACCCAGCCCTGAGCATCTTACCCTAAGGAAAAACCCTTCATTTGCTGGAGAATTCCTAATTAGGCTCACGGTTAAAAGCATGCTGCCTATTTATGTGTCAGCACCAAGGAGCTCTTTCCAAGCCTCTGATGTTTCCTTATAATACACACAGCAACAGCCAGCAGACAAATGGCACTACCCCCTAGATACCTCAGCAGCAGAGACCAGCCAGGCCCTCCCGGCGGGAACGGGGCACTGCAGCCTGGAAAGCTGCATTCACCAACGGACTACAGCAGAGACCGGCAGCCAAGGTCTGAACCACCTGCTCTGCAAACACCCGTCTCCCTGGGGCTTTCCTAACCTGCCTGAAGAAAAGCAAATCACAGAATCCCAGGATGGCTGAGGCTGGAAGAGGCCTCTAGAGAGCATCTAGTCCAACCCCCCTGCTCCACAGGGACACCCAGAGAACAGGGTAGCATCCGAGTGGGTTTGGAAGACCTCCAGAGAAGGAGACTCCCACAACTCCACAACAGATCAGATATAGCCTGGGCCTCAGCTTCAGGGACCTCGGGGTGTTGGGGACACACAGTAATAAACTCCGTGGCCTTGAAACCTGCCCCTGGTTAATTGTCACAGGGAAAAGAGGAGAACAATTCGCATGAACATACAGGGGTAGCACAGCCTGCTGCTTACAGACTGCAACACCACAGCCTAGGTTAGGCTGAGCCAAAACCCAGGCCTGCTGCAACGCTTAGATGCACTCAGGCCACACAGACACCYTGTGCCCGGCGCAGCAGCAAGGACCAGGGCTTCTGTGAGCAAACGGGGAGGAAACCTGGGCCAGCGTGGGGACAGTTGGTGGCTGCGACTCACGATGGGCTGTAGCTGCGCGCCCGGGAGCATGAACTGCATCTGCTGGGCGAACATGGCTGCCGCCGTCTTCTGCTGGATCAGGTTGTTGCGTCCGTTTATCTCAAGTTGTGTTTTTAAGTGCGGGGGAGGATGAAGGTATTTGCAGTTCTCTCGGGTACATCGGCCCTAAAAAGAAAAAACAAAAAACCCTAATTAATACATAATGAAATGGCATTTCAGCAAACATAACATGCAGGGCAGCCAGAAAAACGTAATTAAGGATTGTTTGGGTTAGTGTAGCACCACAATCATCAAGGCGGAGGCATTTCAGTAGCTACTGTGCCTCTTTTGTGATTTTTCTAAAGCAGTGCAATACTTACATGAAGAAAAAACACAACCTTTCCTGCCATAATAGACCGAACTCTACCAGGCTAACCCCCCAAAAGCTAAGGCTTTCTGCAGATTACAGGATTGCTGCTGAAATCAAAACCTAGCACAAATAACAGTATTCTAAGAAGCTGGTGAGCAGCAGCAGTGCCGGCAAGAGCAACAAATCCTCAATTTTCTTCTTTCTGTGGGTTTTTCGCCTCCCGCCCAGCGCAAAACCACTTAATTGGCCTGACAACCAGACAGCAAGAGGCAGAGCGGCCTCCACCCCCTCGGGAGCAGCGCAGGACAGCGTCTCTAAGGAAGGACCTGTGACCTTCAGCGCGCACGTGCAGCAAAACGCCGCCGAGCGCCAGTGCCCGGAGAAGAGTTAAAACGAGGAATTTCCCCTTGCGGTTTCATTTGTCAGGAGTCACAATACCCCACTTCGCTGCCAGCTGCTTTTTTCTTTCCTTTTTCTTTTTCTTTTACAAACATTAGCAGTGGGGAAGCCAATGACTCCCGATCAGAAGCTCCTTAATCTCTCAGATCTCCTCAAATAACCCGAGACAACCACTTCCAAACACCATCTACGAGCTATTCCTTGCTTTAATGGTGCGTGCAGATGGTCCCTGGCAGAATAGACCACCAGCAGTCTGCTGAAAATGAAACGGGGAACAAGTTCTGTCACTACTAAGATTAAGCAACTCTTTGTAAAAATAGTCTCTCTTGCTCAGTGGGGGTACATCCACTTTTCAAGAAACAGAGGCATAAAGAGACCCAGCTCATCCGCAAMCTCCTGGCTCCCCCTGTTATTTAGGTAAATAATCAAATGCGAGAACTAAGGGGCTAAACCTGCTGGGGCAGGAGCCACACAGTTCAAGATGATTTCAGACAGTCCCAAGTTCAGTTTCCCAAATGGAGCTATTTCTCCTCATGAAACCCCCTATACCCATGTCCCTGAGCCCACTGCATGGGGGACTCGCACATGGGAAGCTGAGGCCTTTGCAGCCACGTAGGACCAGACTGTCCTGTGTCACTGCCCGGGACCAGACAAACAGAGACTAGGATTGGAGCACGGCTGGAGTGTGGCAGCCTCCCCGTGTCCCCTCCTGGCCAGGAGGCTCCTCTATTCCCAGCTCCTGCCTTCCGGGGCTCAGGCATCAGCCCTCGAAATTCCTCCTGCCTGAGACTTGGCACAAGGGCCTTGACTTGGGAAACTGCTCRTTTCTACCAAGTTTGGAATAAATCCTGCAGAGATGTTTTCACTCTGCAGGAATGGAGAGGATGAAAAAAAAGAAGTGCACCCACTTTTGCAAACAGTCCTTGCAGGGCCTACCKCAGCTTGGAAAGGACTCGACGGTTCCAGGTGAAACGCTGCACGTCCCCGATACCGGCAACCCCAGCGTGAGCTGAAGGTTTGTTCTGCTTTTTTTGTTCCTCAAAATAGAGTTGATTTAATTTCAGTCTAAAAGCAGAATGTTTTATTACCAACAAAACAATGTTAAGCATGAGGCCCTGCTTCTGCACGCAGAGCTTGGAGCAGAAACCTTGCGCCAACACAGGGTGCTACCGGTGAGGCCACGTTTGCCGGCAGTGAGCTCTGCAGAGCCGAGGCTTTGGGAACAGGCACCGCTGTCATTCCCGCCTGTCACTGCTCCCATAAGACTAAATGAATCACTGCTGAATCACCACGGCACCCACATAAAAATGCCCAGCCTAGTTCCTCCTAGGCATCATTTTCACCCTGAGCACCATCAACTGCTCTGCTTCACCGTTAAGGCTGGAAAGGGCAGCTGAAGGGCTTCCTGCTCCAGCATCGCGGCGAGTTCTTCATCCCTCCGACAGTGACTTCTTGGAGCTGATGACGTGGCTGAAACAGCATGATCTGTTCTCAGCCCCAGGGATGCCGTTTGGACACGTGGCAGCCAGACACCCGTCCCTGTCTCACTCCAAAGCGAGGGCCACCTCAGCACCCACTGAAGCCTCACACTGCAGGTGTCATCTCCTCACCCACTGCCACAAAGCCTGCAGCTCTCAATGCTTCTCAGCAGAGCACAGGCTCCTCAAGGGCCATTCCAGCTCTCTGGAAGAAGCCAGAAGGCTGAGGAAGGGCCGTTACTCACTTGCCCGCACCAGCTGCAGAGCAGCAGGGAAGACAACGGGGAACTGGGAGCAAATCTGCTGTGGGGATATTGCGTTGGGGCCAGATAAGGACAACTCCACCCCCTGAACAGAGTGGCCTAGGAACAAAATGACGGAAAAATTACAACAGGACTCGGGCTCCTCATGTTCAGAGGGGCACCTTCCCCCCTGATGCTGGCTGCAGGGACCGACTGTGCCTGCAGCACGTGGAAACTCAGCGCAAGGCTCTCAGCACCCTGCATGGGAGCAGAAAAGCCCCCAAGAAAGRGTGCCAGGGAAGCAGTAGCCCAGGTGCTGTGTAGAAAGGGGATCATGAGGGCTCGGACCACGCGATCTGCTCCTCACCACAGAGAGCAGCTTCCCCCGCTTCTTCCATGTGCCCCCTTATGGCCAGGCTGCTGGCATGGCCTGACTTGGCACTGCCAGCCCAGCACCGCTGCGACAGCGTATGCGGCAATGGCCAGCGTTAGTGCCATGGCCACAGCTTGTCCCAGGGTGACAGAGCCCCCCACTCCACAGGCAATGCTGGTGACAATGCGCTTAAACCCGGGACAAAAACCGCTGGGCACCCAACCACTTGCGATCTTGGGGGCTGCACCTTGTCCGGGCATCCTCGCTTGGAGGGACGAATGGCCGGTACCAGCCTCGCTGCAGAGAACAGGCAAATTCTCCTCTCGCTGCTGCCAAAGCCACCCAGCCCACGCTGCCAAACCGCCACCCCGAGGCCCACRCTCGCCCCGGGGTCGCTCCCCAGTTTGGCTGCTCTCTTTAGTCCTGGGTGCCAGTGAGGGGCTCCGGGGCAGACACGTGTTCCTGGTTTCCGTGTCTGCACTAAATGTCCTGTCACTTACCAGCAGTTCCCACATGAAACCTTTAAGCTCACGGGGCTCCTGGCGCAGCAGAGGCTGCTGCAGATTTGGGTCCTGACTGAGCTGCCTTTGCCACAGACACCGCCAACACGTGCAGTGAGTGACAGGAAAGGGAATGAAAGGAGACCAGGCAGGAAAGGATTTCTATGTTTTGCACAAAACCAGGCTCCGACACAGCTTGTCTACATAACTTTTCCCTGCATGAAGCAGCAGTTTTTGCCCCCAGAGGATCTCTGTGGGCAGGCGCATTCACAGAAGCCCTGGCCCTGCTCACCCAGCGCCTACGGCTCCGACGYCGCGACACGAAACCTTCTGCTGGCCATCCAGCTCGGCACAGAGGAGACCTTGTCCTGGCTGGGGCTCCTCGCCCAGCGCGGGGGATCAGCAGCCGCAGCGGTGACAGGGACACAACAGCAGAGGCTGCCACCCAGCAACGCCTTCCTCAGCATCAAACAGCCTGGAAACTGCCCATTTTCCAGGGGCACTGGGAAACACGSAGGCCAGAGCCGACAAGTCAGCATGACTGTTAACAAGCGTTAGGGCTCCCGATCGTGTTCCTGCAGCCAAGCTCTCGCACTCTGCAGCTTAACGAGTGCTTCAGAACAGACCTAACCTGCAGTTCCCTTCTGGGGTCTAATGGAAAGTTGAAGCTCGGCTGCGGCCTTTGGGTCTGCGAGAAGCAGAACCTTGCAGCCCACCTTGAGCATCAGTCCTGGCACCCTGGGCCACGAGCAGGGCCCTCCTGCCCGGAGCAGCGCAGCAGCTCAGGGCTTTCAGAGAGGCTTTCAATGGAGCTATGTGCAAAGTGCCCTTCCCCATAAATGGGACGGCACGGAGGGCTGCTGGGCTCTCTCCATAGATCCTAGMGAGCAGGATGAGAAGAGTCTAGTGAAATGGGAGAGACCAGCACTAGGCTCACAGGGGTCCCTCCAGCCATTCTCACCATGCCCAGTATTTGCACAGGCCAGCTCATCTCCCCAGGCCAAGCACTCCAGCTCACCTGCCCTGCCTCATGCTCCACTCTCATTTTGCCACTCCAATACTGAGGCCTAACATTTCCAGCCTTACCCCAGGGGGCCAGCATGATAGTTACTCCCTTCCTCTTCACAGCAGCAACAATCCATATTTCAAGATCACATCCACCCCTCTCTGTGTTCATGGCACCAGGCGCAGTGCTCTAATACTTCTGTGCTGCTAAGCGAAACAGGAAGATCATTTCCCTCGTCGTACAGGAACGGATAAGCAGCAGTGTCATCTGCAGGACATTTTCTTTCCTCACAGCAGCTTAAATGCTGCTGATTCCCTTTCAACTTGTGATCCCAGGTCCATTTTCCAAAGCTACTGCTACACCCTGCACCACATAGGATTTTTTGCCCAAGTGCAACGTTTCATATTGTTTCTATTAACTTGCATCTCTTTTTCTTTTTTTTTTCCAGACTATTTTTCCAATCTGTCATGATTACCCGCATCTCCAGACCTAGTTCTATAAAGTGCCTGCAGTTCCTCCCWGCCCAGAACACCCTGCAAATTTAATAAGGATCCTCCCTGCTCCATCAGTGTATCAAGAAGGGCCGTGYGGCCTCGCCAAGCACATCCTCCCAGGCAGCCTCCGACTGCAGCTCCGGGCAGGGTCTTCCCTGAATCGAGGGCCTCGCTTGTGCTCTGCAATGCCCCCAACTCCCAGCGCTGTGTCCTCCACAAGCACCTGCAATAGCCTATTAAAAGGTTACTGGTTCTACCCCATCTTTTGCTTCTCTGTGGAAATATCTTTGTGGAAACACTGGGGAGYTGGTGCCCTCCTACCCT